ATTGGCGGGTTTTAGAAAAGTACAAAAATACGTGAAGTAGTGGTGGATAAAATAGAAAAAGGAATACCTTAATTTGTGTTATCAATACAGAAAACTACAAAATGCGATGTAAAATATAATGCTATGCTATGCTAAATGCGATGAAAAAAAATTTAACTTAGATACGTTTTTGACCTTTTCAAAAATCACTGATAGCATTTGCCACCAGAGTGAAACTGTTTGAAACTGTGATTTTTGTCTGGCCCATCGACTAGCAGGGACTATTTATAAGTAAGCAAAACACAATTTTGGCCTTTTACACATTAATTTATTTCCTGGGATCCAGAATACACAGTTCAATACTTTACAAAGATGTAAGTCAGTCTGGTCAACGGCGAATCTCTGAAAGTTCAGATGGGTGTGAGTGACAGGTGGATTAGCCAATCAGGGACACGCATGGTCAGCATCGGAAAAAATACAGGAAATAAAATATCTCAAAGGGCTGAAAAACATCGCAAATTTCTGCAGAATAAATGATCGAAGCAGTAAACTTTGTCTGTCAATAGGGTGGGTGCTTTACACTATTGTGCACTTTTAAAATATTATGCAGTCTGATGCTCTAATGTAATTATGTTGTTATTTTGACAATGACAATAAAGAAATTGAATTGAATCTGAGGTGAGATAAATTAGATTTGTTACGTAATGATACGTGATCAATGAGCTCCTTTGTTTCACATAATCATTTCACATGGATCATTTAAAAAAAAAGAGAGAGAGAGAGACATAACAAAGGGCATGAGGACCAGACTGAATCTGTATAAACATGCAGACATATCATTCTGGATTTACCAGGTAATTTCATTTAACAACAACACAAGAAAAAAGGTGCCTTTGTTTATTTGTACTTGTTTAGTCATATCTGCTGTGTAATTTAGACAGGTTTTGGCTCTTTATTATGGTTGCTAGGTAAAAGTTAAGCAATTACCTCTACATATCTCACATCTGCATCTGGTCCAAACAGGAAATATCCAAATCTAGGCATGCTTCAGTGACATGAGTAGCCTAACCATTTGCAGCTTAACTCGGAGCATATTTTTGGTCCTTAATCCTCTGCTGACACTGTCCGTCTGAGGCTGGTCTGAAGTAAACAGGGAGCGGGCCTATTGTCCGACGGATGAGAGCTTTTGTAAAACAGAACAGGTCACCTGGTTATTACGGGCTGACACACCTGCGCGTCTGGTCTGCACTAAGCCCCCATCACGATTAGGTTTACACGTGACAGTATCCTTAGAAAGCGGCCGTCCTCTAGACTTTCAGTACAAGAGCACAGAGGAGCAGAGCCACGGGGGGAGGTGAAAGGTTCCTGGAAAAATAAGTTTGTGGTTTTGTCACTGGATCCAATAGGCATGCCCTTGTTTAAGCTTGTGCTAAAATTCCCATGAACATACTCAAGGGCAACAGGAAATGTGTTGTATTGTTATTTCCTCATCACAAACATACTTGGAGTCGTGTTTTGTTTCATTCACACATGTTTAACACACAAACACTACATTTAGCCTTCATTTCTCAAACAGAAAACACTTTTGATGTTATTCGACCTTGCCATGTCATGTGATAATATAGAAAGTGCTCCACTGGGTTTTTTAACTCCATACAACTTAACAACGATCATTTGGATGATTTCAGTCCTGGAATTTCCAATCTCTACTGAACTAAAAGTAAAAAGTCGCTGTTAACATTAAAATTACTGCTTCATGATGACACTGCAAGGTGGAACAGAGGTTTAGACATACTAATAATAAAGAATTACTCAAACATGTGTGAATGAAACAAAACATAACTCCAGGATTGTTTGTGAGGAGGTAACAACATTCTAACACGGTTTAAAGCTCACAAGAGTCAGTTTTGCGTAATATAGAACCCTTAAAATGGAACAATTCAATAACAAGAAGCATTTGAGGTGTGTCTCTGTCGTAGATGCATGACTAGTTACTCCGAATAGGATTACAAACAAAAGAGAATAATGTTTAAATAATAAAACAAATATATCGCATAGGATCGGTGAAGTCAGAGCAATGTCAACAATGAGCGTCATTGTTGTATTAAGCATACAATGAGATCAGCATATTAATATTATAATGCTATTAATAAACTGTCTTACACTTGTAATGTGGTTTACAGGCTTGGCACTGACTCTCACAGCTCTACATCCCACGCATTATTTATTCACTCCGTTCACTCGGCGGTGGAGAGATCCTCTTGTAGTCACAGTTGCCCTGAGGCAGACTGACGGAGCGTGCAAGGCTGCCAAATGGTGGTTTGAATGTGATTATGTCATTCTCCCAGATGGGAGGCAAGAGCCAGTTTTCCCTTTTGATTACACTTTACTAGAAGAAGATGAAGAAATATCCAAAAAGTAAATTCACAAATGTTGAACCTGATCATTTCTATTACTGACCTATAACCAGAGAATGTATAAAGAAGTGGACTAAGGGAGTGACACCTATAGAGTCAAATGAAGCTCAGCGAGGGTGGCAGTTATAAGGGCAAATTTGGAGCTGCATTCCATAATGGGATTAGGGATTTATTTATGGAGAAAATGGCGATCAAAATGATGAGGCTCACAGCAGCAGTTACAGAGAGAGGGGGAACACTTTTTCAATGTAAAATCAATTGTAAACATCACTGGGATCTTTGGACTCGATGGAGACGGAAACACCCCCATGTTCGCTTCCTATTTGGAATACGGCTAAAATTTGAGCTGTAAAAGGTTGAATATGTGACAACTATGGCTAATTATTGGTTCATTGTGTTGTTTTCTTGTTGCATCTCATATCTGTTCATTATACTATCTATAAAAAGATGGTTTACAAGGATTATCTTGCATTATTTTTTTATAATCAGTGTACAAGTAGTTTCAATATTATTGTTTATTTCAGTATATCTCTGTAGTAATATACAGTGCCTAAAAATGTGTTAAGCTGACAGTCCTAGTGAAGAAATGCATTTATGGAGTAGTCTATACACATAATTTTAGAGATATTTGTCACAGTGAGAGACAGGAGGACACCGGACAAGGGCCAGATAATACTCCCTACAACTGTACAACTCATCCACTGCACCAGACTATAGAAGGACAGAGGAACTCACTCACCAACAGGCTCCTACAGCTCCAACAGTGAGAGATATAGGACTACATTCATACTATAATACTCCCTACAACTGTACAACAACTCACCCTCATGTAACAGATAATACTCCCTACAACTGTACAACAACTCACCCTCACGTAACAGATAATACTCCCTACAACTGTACAACAACTCACCCTTATGTAACAGATAATACTCCCTACAACTGTACAACAACTCACCCTCACGTAACAGATAATACTCCCTACAACTGTACAACAACTCACCCTCACGTAACAGATAATACTCCCTACAACTGTACAACAACTCACCCTCACGTAACAGATAATACTCCCTACAACTGTACAACAACTCACCCTCACGTAACAGATAATACTCCCTACAACTGTACAACAACTCACCCTCACGTAACAGATAATACTCCCTACAACTGTACAACAACTCACCCTCACGTAACAGATAATACTCCCTACAACTGTACAACAACTCACCCTTACTGTAACAGATAATACTCCCTACAACTGTACAACAACTCACCCTCACGTAACAGATAATACTCCCTACAACTGTACAACAACTCACCCTCACGTAACAGATAATACTCCCTACAACTGTACAACAACTCACCCTCACGTAACAGATAATACTCCCTACAACTGTACAACAACTCACCCTCACGTAACAGATAATACTCCCTACAACTGTACAACAACTCACCCTCACGTAACAGATAATACTCCCTACAACTGTACAACAACTCACCCTTATGTAACAGAGAAGCCCGTGTTTCTGTCAATAATCATTTTATTTTTGCAATGTTTTTCCTTACAACCTCATATATAGATGAGATATATTTGTATGATTATATTTCTATATTTTATTTCTACTTGTACATATATATTTACATAATTATGCCAGTCTCTTGATATTTTTGGTACTTATTTGCAATTTATTTTTACCACTTATATTTTTCTTGTTGTTATTATAATATATTGTGATCTGTTAGCTACTATGTCCAAATACTTTCTCTTGTGGATCAGTAAAATTTGTCTAAGTCTAAGGCTAAATTCAGACTGCAGGGCTTAATGCTCAATTCCGATTTTTTGATTTTCTGATTGTTTTTGCGAGGTCGTTCACATTTCCAATTAAATGAGACTTGTATGTGACTCCAGTATGAACATTAAACGGCCCGAAAGTGTCCCGCATGCGCAATGGAGGACATGATGACGTCAACCGCAAGCGAGCGTGCTCTGTGTTTACAGAAGTTGTCCAAATATGGATGCGAGCATTGAGCACCTGGCGATTTTAAAGTTCCTCTTGTACCGGAGCCAGAACATGAACAACTTACTTGTTTTAAGGAGATTGAGAAGGAGAAGGACGAGGTTTTTGGCCGTGGCGTTTTGTGGGACAGCGGCAGCAACGTCCGTAGAAAGGAACGTGTCGGTGTGGAGACGTAGCCAAGAGTGGTGAGTGGCGATGTGCTTCACTTCAGTGACACGGAGTTCATTAACAATTTTTGCCTACTTCAGCACAGAATAGTGACGTTTGTGGCTGGTTGATAACGTGTAGGTCGAATGAATGCGCTTTGGCCGTTCAGACTGAAGTCGCATGTCAAAAGATCGGATATGTATCGGTTTCAGGACCACATATCCAAGTGGCCTGGGTCGCATTTGAAAAAATCTGATCTGTGTCGTTCAGACTGTCATTAAAAGATCAGACACAGGTCACATAGAAACCAAAAAATCGGATTTGGGTACCTTCAGGCTGCAGTCTGAACGCAGCCTAAGTCTAGTGAACTCAACAGAGCTGCTCCCGGTGCCTTGTTTTGGACTGTGTGTAGTATGCCAGTGTAATAGTGTGCACTCACCGGAGAATCTGTAGTTGTTCTTGTGAGTTGTGTAGCTCATCTGACAATCGTCTCCACCTCAGCAGAGCCTTCAGGTCAGACTGTTCTGCTGCCTCCTGCACTGAGAGCTGTTCAGACACAAGAGCTGCACTCAGTGGATCAGAGGGAATAATACAAATACAATACTATATCGAGTGTGGAGAGGAGAAGAAGTACTGTGTGGTTATCTACAGCAAAGTCAATAACAATAAAAAGACGATGCTAATAGTATTAAGTTGCTGTAATCAATTTGGTTTTCATGTCTGTGTCTATCGTCACTGTAGTAGTAATATAACACAGATCATTTGTATTTTATTCATTTTTTCTAGCACTCAATCATGCTCCATTGAATTTAGTTTAGTCTTTATTTGAAGGGACAATTTACAGAGATATTAAAGGGCACATGTGATGGTAAATCCGTGTCTCATTCGTTCATTCCTTTTTCAAAATAAAACCAAAAATAAGAAAAGGAAAATCAGCTGTTTTCTTAATTATTTGTCTAACGACCGTTTCCCGTTTCCGTGACTTAAATTGCGATGCCAGACTGAACCAGGACTGAACCAGGACTAAACCAGTACTAAACCAGGACTAAACCGGTCTCAGTCCTGATCTCAGTCCTGGTCTCAGTCCTGGTCTGAACCCGGTCTCAGTCCTAGTCTCAGTCCTAATCTTGTCCCGGTCTGGTCCCGGTCTAAGTACCAGCCTCAAACCCTGTCTCAGTCCCGGTCTCAGTCCTGATCACCTGACAGTCTACGCGGGTGCAATTCCGGGCCCGTCCCAACACTCCTGGTTCAGTCTCGGTTCAGTCTTGGTTCAGTCCTGGTTCAGTCCTGTTTTAGTCCTGGTTCAGTCCTGGTTCAGTCCAGGACAACATTTTAACATGACTTAAAGCTCACAAGAGTACATTTTGTATAATACCTTTAAGCTCATAAAAACAGACATGTTCTGGACCAAATTAAAGCTAAATAGCTAGTTTCCATCTGGAGTCCCTGAGATACCTGGAGTCAGTTGCAAAAACACATTTTAAGAGGTGACAACTTGCACTGCCAATGTGCAAGGAGTGAAAAGATCTGCAGAGTAATACTGATGATGTATTCAAGGTTTCAAAAATACTTTTACACCTTAAAATTAACACTGTAAAATATGTTATTTTTTTAGCACTGGTTCTTTCACTTTCCATGAGAATGCCAATATGACTTCAACTGGAAATTTAAGGGCTGAAATCAGTCAGACTTCCCAGGAGGGGCTATATAATGGTATAAATCCTAACAATCATGAAATCACAATGTATTTATACTACTCAAAGTTGCAATAATTAACACTGAAAATTGACAAAATGACTGTATTGTTGATCCGTGTCTAACCAAGGGTAAACAAGCCTGATGCTCTTGATACGATTTCAGAATTATAAAGAAGGTCAAATTGTATGGAATTTGAATGCAAAATTATGCTTGCAGTAAATTCTACATCCATATGAGTATTTTGTATGTATGATTTGACATTGGCATAATACTGGTAAACTGATTTATAGTTTGTAATGAATCACTAATACACTATATATAGGGAGTACTCAGAGTGTGATACAATGCTTGAGGGATACTAGTGTCGCCACCATACAAAAATGTCAAACTCAATTTTGATACTAAAGAACAGACTTGATACTCAGTACTGATTCTGACACCACTAATAAAATGTATTATATTCATTGTCATTTTCAACATTCAATTGTAGTATTTTGTTTTATATTACCATGTGGCTTTACATCTGTGTAAACCCTAAGTTCCAGGTACCGTCCATAGTGGATATTGATCTATGTGGTCTTCGCCTTGTTCTGATACAGTTCGATATCATTCTAAAGCAGGGGTCTCCAACCTTTTTCTTCCAGTGAGCTACCTTTACAAAAAGAAAATGGCACAGAGCTACTAATTTCAATTTTACAGACGAAAAATTAAGCATAAAATACCTATAAAACATAGACGTTTATCCATTTATTAGTGCACAAATTAAGGAATCACAATAATAAATTTACAATGGTAGTTCATCAAAGTTGAATCATTCAGCACAAGATTTATAATTCAGAAATTCTTTGGCGAGCTACTTGGAAGGGAATAGAGAGCTACTGTTGGCTCCCGAGCTACAGGTTGGACAGTACTATTCTAAAACTTTGCAGGAAAGGTTCTGTCCTGTGAATGTGACTTATTTAGTATCGACACTTGCTGAAGTGAGTAGTTTTGACACTAGTTTTATAATCTGATTTTCGATACTTTTGAGAACCATAGTTGGTACTTGAGACAAAAAAGATTAGGACCACTGTTCTAGATGTTTTTGGGTGAGTATACAAAACAGTTATAACATACTTGCTGAGCTTGGGCCCATATGATATCTTCTAAGAAGGTGGCAAATCCTTCACTGATCCACTCTTCGGTCCAGTCTCTCGCTCCGATAACCAAACCGAACCAGGAGTGTGCGATCTCATGACATAATCTGGACCCACAGAGGGAGGACTCCATCGGGGAAGCCCCTTCAGAAACACCCAAGACGCTCTGGGACAGGAAGACGATGTGTGGGCTGGAAGACATAAGGTGTATTTAAGTAAGATTAGAAGATAATAGCGCTAAGTATATGTTTGCACAATCAGAAGCTATTGAGAAAGAGCAGTCGAGACCAAAACAACTGATTTATCATGACGAGGTTCACACCCACCCATGTGTTGTCTAAACATGCAGCATCCCAGCATGTCTAGGTGTTAATTACTGTCAATGCAAATGAAGAATTTCCCACACTTTCATTACCTCCTTTATTCGCAGAGGCTTACTCATCATCTGCTACTGTCAACACGCATTAGGACCACGCCAAGGAAAACAAAAGAGTAGTTTATAAAGAGTGCCATATATCAATGAATGAACTGTGCCAAGGAGAAACTGAGAAATCCATCTTGTCAGTTTAAACAAGGTGGTACTGCAATCACATCTGAACCTTAAAGGGACCATATTGCGCTATTTTCTGATCTATGTTGTAATAATTCCTCACCACAGACGTACCTGGAGTTGATATCTCTACTGAACTAAAGGTAAAAGGAGCTAAAACTACCACTTCATGACATCACAAGGTGCAACAGAGCATTTTGAGATTTGGAGATTAGACAGACTAATAATAAAGGATCACTCAAATGTGTGAATGAAACAAAACACAACTCCAGGTTATGTTTATGATGAGGTAAGAACATTATAACACGGCACAATTTACACACAAGCAGCACATTTTTTCTGATGCTTTAAACATGATTTAAACAAAAACGTGCTTTCTTGTATGCACGGTTCTCACTCTGTTTCACTGACAAAATTTCAAAACTTTTCCATGACGTTTTCATGACTTTACGGCACCCTGCATGTGTAGAACTGATCAGACTTTTAGGGCTAAATATGAAACGTTAACTCTTTCCTCTCACCTTATGGTTTGGTTTTATAGTTTTTTTTAACATTCAAAATACTGTCAGTGCATTTATTGTCATCTCTTATAAACAAATCATAATAGTCTAATGATAACTTAACAGAACACTGTAGTTGTGTGAAAGAGATACTAACATTTTTCAAAACTTTTCCAAAACTTTCACTGAATTTACAAAATTCTATGACTATTCCACGCCTGGAAAATGACATTTTCAATATCCATGACTTTTCCAGGATTTCCATGACCGTGGGAACCCTGTATATGTGTATTTGTCAGAGAATAATTCCTGTGTACATTCCTGTGTTTTGTAAGGTAATAGTTATGGAATTCTCTAATGTGATGTTACGATTTCCAAACAGGAAGTCAAATTTTATAGCTAAAAAAAATGGACAAATTGGGAAAACGAGCATGCTTTTGTACAAATCTTTAGTATAATGAGCATAACTGTGTTTCAGTAAAATGAGGAGTCTAACCTGTCATAGGCACTTTAACCTGCAGATAGAGGACACATACAAGTTTTTCTCATTCTCAGTTTATGGACAGGCCTCATGTGAAAGCTCAAAACCTCCATAATTCACTCACTGAGCTGCAGAGGCTGCACTAGCACTGATTAATGATTGGTTGCAGATGCTGAGGTTTTTGTAGTGATCTATGAGTCATTTTAGTTTTATTTCCAACTGGTTTTAATCTTTGTAACTGGCAACCCAAAGTAAAGGCTTATACTACTTAATTTAATCAGCGAAAGAATAAAAAAACTAAACAACTTGGCCTTTATGTATTCTGTTTTTGTAATTAAGAATAAATCAGAATTACAATCGTTACCAATAAACACAATATTAAATTTGAACATGTTTGCCTCATATCTGGGGATAAAGAGAGGTCAGGTTTATTAAATTTAAAATCAACAGTTGATGATAGAAGCATGAACTCAAAACATCAAATGCAACTGCTTTATTTAAAAATAAATCTTGCCCAAAGTAACAGAAACTGAAATTAGATGAGGTATTCTAACCTCGCAGTTGTAAAAATAATTATCACTTTCACGCATCAACCCATTTACAAATCAGACACGTTTCCTCCGTGAAAACATTTTTGATTAAATACATTTACAAAATCTCAGGAGAAGTTCAAGTATCTGAAGCTAACACAATTAACTCACACATAGCCTTTGTTTCTTTATATTTATTGATTTATTTGAAAGGTCCTATATACATTAGGGTGCATTGTTTACCCCAGTGTCAGAAATTCAACTTGTCCTCAATTTTACAATGTGACAATACCAATTAAAACAAAATTTGTGGAAGATTAGCTCAATTGAATAATATCTACTGGGTCCACCAAGCCTCTTATGTTCCATCTTAACAGCGTCCTTAAGGCTCCGGCAGAAAAATTACTTTTTCTCAAAAAATTTTAAAATAATCAATTTAGGGCAATGGTGTCAATGAAAGTTGAATATAAATGTTGCTTTTGCTATTTGCAATTTTATATCCCTATCTTCATAACTTTCTAAGATATGACAATTTTTTCAAGATTTTGAGTTTTTTTTTCATAATTATCCAATATCCAAAAAGACCAAAGATGAAATGAGACACATAAAGTTAGTATTCTTTCTGTAGTGATCAAAAACTGTATAAAAAAGTGAAGTGAGTGTGACGTCACCCAGAGCCTCCCACTGACAGGTGTGACTCAGGGTTTGGTAAACCCAAGTTTTCAGAAAGGATAAGGATGTTATTAAAGAAAAACAGATTTTTCAACTCAGATTTAAGGCTTCTGCAGGCACTGAACTTCAGAGGCTTGGTGGACCCAGTAGACATCAATAGAATTTCATGAAATTTCTCACGGAAGTTTACTTTGGCAAGTGTGAAAAATTGATACTAAGTACAGATTGATTTTCAAAAAGTTGGGCAAATGATGCACCCTAATATACATATACACAAAATTGATTATTGTGAGATTTAAGTCATGTTATAATGCTGTTACGACATCAAAAATATGCCCGGAGTTGTGTTTTGTTTCATTCATACATATTTGAGTAATCCTTTATTATTAGTCTGTCTGCATCTCCAAAGCTCAAAATGCTCTGTTCCACTTTGTGATGAAGTAATAGTTTTCAAGTCAATAGCTCCTTTTATCTTTAGTTCAGTAGAGATTAGAAATTCCAGGGATTAAATTAGCACTTCCTGAATTACATTACAAGGTCAACTGGTATCAGTTTGAGAGAAGAGCTCACCCTAAATATGTATGTGTGAATGAAACAAAACAAAACTCCAGGTGTGTTTTAGATGAGGAAACAACATGGATATAACAAAGATTGGAAAATATGGGCCCTTAAGAAAACAAAATAATAAAATGGCTGTCAATATAGGTTCCCACAAAAATACAGGCATGAAATCATTGTGATTTGACACAAAAATACTCACATTTCTTCCTTCAAAGACTGAACTCTGCTCCAAACCACAAGCTTTTGCTTACTGTAGACCTCTCGATTTAAAAGACTCAAGCTGATCACTGACGATAAGAAATAACTGAATCTCAATCTCGATAAAAATTCAATTAAAGGCCCAGCACTACTTCTGAGACTCCCCGAAGAGTCACATGTTTTTGAAAGTGGTGTCACAAAATATTATTGATTTGCAATGACCAAACTGGCAGTGCAGACAGTACAATATTGATCCCCATCTCAACAGTAAATCTTCACCGTAGTACACAGCAGTTTAATGAGGAGTAGCACAAAGCTCGTACTGTAGAAAGCATTTGTCACGACTCAAACAAAACCTGGAGTGTTTTGTTTCATTCACACATATTTAACACACAAATTCTGCATATTTAGGTTTTTCTCTCGTGTCACGTGCTAATACAGGAAGTGCTCCACTGTATTTTTACACTTCATACACCTTCACTAACAGTGTTGGGAAGGAACCTAGTTTAGACCTAGTTTAGACCTGGTTTTAGTGCTGGTTTGAGTCCTGGTTTTAGTTCTGGTTTAGCCCAAAATGTGAAAACAGGAAAACACCACCATGTAATCCATTTATTTCAAGAAAGTAACTGTAATCCAATTACCACTCATGGAAACAGTAACTGTAACTGAACACAGTTACTCATAATTTGTACTCTGATTACGTAACGCTGGTACATGTAATCTGTTACTCCCCAACACTGTTCACTAAAATCATTTGGATAATTTCATCCCTGGAATTGCCAGTCTCTACTGAATTACATGTAAAAAGTAGCTGTTAACTTAAAAACAAAATCTAAATGGGAAGAGGAGCTGAATATTATTTTATCTGAGGGCGACTGGCTTTTGATGTGCAGCACACAACAAACAACAACCAGCTCCAAAAGGTGTAGGGAATTTGGGTGGAAATGTCTTATACGATTCTTTATTACTCCCCAAATTACTGTCAGAGTTTGATTGGGGGTTTGATTGTCATTGTTGGAGACAGTGTGGCCACTCAAATGCCAATCACTCTCATATTTTTGGACATTTGGACAAAATTAAAAACATTCTGGGACAGTGTGTTTGGAAAAACAGATACGATCTTGACTTATGTTGTCCCCAAGGACCCGGAGATATTTTTGTTAGGCCTTCTGCCTGGAGAGGTGATCGAAAAAGCGGACGGATACCTTTTTAAGTTTCTGACATTGGCATCAAAAAAAGCAATAACAAGAAGCTGGCTTAAAAAAGACCCACCTTCAGTGAATCAGTGGCTAGGAACGACTGACTTGTTTTCTACAACTCAAAGGACATTTCTTCATTAAACACTTTACAAAATGGTTGAAATATAAACAAAACGAGTCCTCAACGCAGTGAAACAGTGCCCCAACCTTTGTATTGGCTGTACTTTGTTTGTTTGTTTTTTACTACAGAAAACTTGAAAAACTGAATGCAAACATATGTGAATAAAACAAAACACAACTCCAGGTATGTTTTTGATGAGGTAACAACATTATAAGATGGCTTAAAGCTCACAAGAGTAAATTTTGTACTCTAGCTAGTAATATATGTAGTTAGATCAGAATTTCTTAAATCATGTTTCTCAACATGACGGCTATAAAATGATTCTCACTAACATTCCACTCTTTCACAAGATCAACAAAATGCCAGTGACCCTGGACCT